CAGACAAATATAACTCAGGATAGGGGCAGACAAATATAACTCAGGATAGGGGCAGACAAATATAACTCAGGATAGGGGCAGACAAATTCACTACAAATGACAAGAAAGTATGCAATGAACTCAATAAGAAATTCCACGAGGTCTTCACAGTAGAGCAAAGGGAAGTCCCAGAGATAGGAGAGGGAATATCTAACCAAACACTACTAGACGAGTTCGTGATTACCAGTGGGGAGGTGAGGAAACATCTGCTAGATTTGGAAGTGACAAAGGCTATAGGCCTGGATGGAATCTCACCTTGGATACTGAAGGAAGGAGCAGAAGCTCTATGCCAGCCACTTGCCATGGTGTATAACAAATCCCTGGTAACAAGTGAACTGCCAAAAATTTGGAAGATAGCTAATGTAGTCCCGATATTCAAAAAGGGTGATCGACAGGAGGCTCTAAACTAAAGGCCAGTGTCACTAACTTGCAAACCATGCAAGATGATGGGAGACAATTGTGCGAAAAAATCTAGTGGAACATCTGGAGCGGAAGAACTTTGTATCACATCAGCATGGGTTCAGGGATGCCAGATCATGTCTCTCATAACTGAATTCTATGACCAGGCAACAAAAATCAGGCAGGAAAAAGAGAGGGATGGGTAGACTGCATATATTTGGACTGCCAGAAAGCCTTTGACACAGTACCTGTCGGGAGCCGGTACTCTGCCTGTAATGTAGTCTATGGGAGTCGGTCGGCCGAGCGGACAGCACGCTGGACTTGTGATCCTGTGGTCCCGGGTTCGATCCTGGGCGCCGGTGAGAAACAATGGGCAGAATTTCTTTCACCCTATGCCCCTGTTACCTAGCAGCAAAATAGGTACCTGGGTGTTGGTCAGCTGTCACGGGCTGCTTCCTGTGGGTGGAGGCCTGGTCTAGGACCGGGCCCCAGGGACACTAAAGCCCTGAAATCATCTCAAGATAACCTCAAGATAACCACATAAGAGACTAGTGCACAAACTGGAGATGCAGGCAGGAGTGAAAGGAAAGATACTCCACTGGATAATGGAGTACCTAAGCAACAGAAGACAGAGTCACTGTGAGAGGTGAGGTCTTGGAGGGGTGAGGAATCACCAGTGGAGTCCCACAGGGTTCAGTACAGTACTTGGACCTATATCGTTCCTCTCAATGTTTGCTGATGAAGCAAAAATTATGGAGGAGGATTAAGACAGAGGAAGATAGTATGAGGCTACAAGATGACCTAAACAAACTGAAGGAATGGTCAAACAAATAGCTACTAAAGTTCAACCCAAGTAAATGTAAGGTAATGAAAGTAGGGGGAGGAAATAGGAGGCCAGTCACTGGATACCAAATGGGATTTGAAGTCCTTCACGAAATGAACAGATTAAGATCTAGAAGTTGATATCACGCCAAACCTGTCTCCTGAAGCCCACATCAAATGAATAATATCGGTGGCATATGCGAGGCTGGCTAACATCAGAACTGCCTTCAGAAACCTGTGTAAGGAATTTTTCAGAACCGTGTATACCATGTATGTAAGGCCAATCCTGGAGTATGCGGCCCCAACATGGAGTCCGTACCTTGTCAAGCACAAGACGAAGCTGGATAAAGTTCAGAGGATATGACACTAGGCTAGTCCCAGAACTAAGAGGCATGGGTTACGAGGAAGGCTGAGGGAACTGCACCTCACGTCGCTGGAAGATAAGACCCAGGAAGACATGATCACCATATACAAAATTCTCAGAGGAATTGACAGGGTAGACAAAGATGGATTATTTACCACGGGAAGTACACACACAAGGGAACACAGGTGGAAACTGAGTACCCAAATGACCCACAGAGACATTAGAAAGAACTTTTTCAGTGTCAGAGTAGTTAGTAAATGGAATGCACTAGGAAGTGATGTGGTGGAAGCTGACTCCATACACAGTTTCAAATGTAGATATGATAGAGCTCGAGAAGCTCAGCAATCTGTACACCAGTAGATTGACGGTTGAGGGGCGGGACCAAAGAACCAAAGCTCAACCACCACAAGCACAACTAGGTGAGTACATACAGATAAGTAGATAGATACAGACAAAGATATCTCTATATATCTATCTATAGGTTATATAAATAAATAAATAAATTAAATAAATATATAAATAGTTTATTCAGGTAAAAGTACATACATACAAAATGAGTTACAAACAGAATGCTGAATTTCTAGATAGAGCTAGTATATATACTATGCTTTAGGCATATTAGTATATTTTGGTAGCAGTCTTTCTTGTAAACATATGTTGTTAAATATGACCGAAAAAGTAACATTAATAATTCTAACACGAATTTTCTCAATATTTCTTATGTTTCTTTTTACTGCCGATGGTAATTGAAAAATCAATTCTCCAAAATTCATTTTTATTTCTAGTCTGACGCGACACTTGAACGCATTTCATAATTAACTATTACATTTTCAAAGACTTTAGTTTACACATACAACTGTAACCTGTAAACACGCCATTTGCTTCCTATTTATACTCGCATTTGGGTGAGGTGATATGGTACAACAGTTTTGGATGAGGTGAACAAAATTGTGACAAATACAAGATAGAACACGAAACAATGAGTTTTTCATGAGTAGGTTGGCCAACCTACCAACCTTGGTTGGTAGTAGTAGTATTTTCCAATAGGCCAACCTACTCGTGAAAAACTCTCCAGACACAAAGCAGAACGCCTTAAAGGAGACCAACGTCGTCTATGCCTTCAAATGCCCACTTGGGGACTGTAAGCCCCAAAGAACTCAGTATATAGACAAGACAACAACGTCTCTTTCCAGGCAACTAACAATGCATAAGCAACAGGGCTCCATTAAGGAACATATAATCTCTTCCCACAACCAGACCATCACCAGAGAAGTCTTAACAAACAACACAGAAATCATCGATAGATACAGCGATAGCAGGCGGCTCGACATCTGGGAGGCACTACACATCAAAAAGTCAACACCAGCAATCAACAGCCAATTAATGCACAACTATATTCTACCCACTTCAAGTCTCCGTACCAATATAGAAGCATCAAGAGAAAGTCTGGGCCAATAGGCCCTTTGCAGTTACTTCCATTCTTATGCTCTCATATCCAATTAATACCCATAATTCATGGGTATTAATGTTTTCTGGTATGTCAAGAGGAGTACAGGCCGGATCACGATACACTCTCCTCTTGACATACCAGAAAACATTCTAAGGAAACTACTCCAAGCTTGTACTAAAGAGGCACCCTTCTTGAGCCCAGATGGGCACATGTATAAGCAAGTAGATGGGGTCGCCATGGGTTCTCCCCTAGGTGCCCTGTTTGCGAACTTCTACATGGGTACCATCGAACAGAAGGTCTTAGTCGACATGAACTTGAAACCGGCCATATACTGCATGTATGTTGATGACATTTTTACACAGGTACCTGATGTCAGACATCTGCAGGAGCTGAAGGAGGCATTTGAACAGATGCGTTTGATGCGTTTCACTTACGAGATGGAGAAGGATGGGAAGCTGCCCTTTCTAGATGTAACAGTCATGAAAAGGAGCGGAGGTTTCCACACTGCAGTCTACACTAAGGAAACAAACATAGGAATGTGCCTCAATGCCTATAGTGACTGCCCAGACAGGTACAAGAGGAGTGTTGTTAACGCTTATGTCGACCATGCTCTCAGCCACAGCTCAGGATGGAAGCAAGTCGATGAAGAACTCTGTAGGGTAAGGCAGGTCCTAGTCAACAACGGCTTCTCCAATGGTTTCATTGAAGACATCGTAAGAAGGAAGGTGAAACGCCATGCAACCTCTGAAGAGACAACTAACACAACACCTGTACCCCCCTATTAGACTATTTTACAGGAACTTCTTTTCCACAGCTCATAAAACGGAGGAAAGGGTCCTGAAAGATATTGTTAATAGGAACGTTACCCCTACAGACAAAAATCAGAAGATACAATTGACGATTTACTATAAAACCAAAAAAACGGCCAACCTACTCATGAGAAACTCTCCAGACACAAAGTTGAACACTTTAAAAGAGACCAACGTCGTCTATGCCTTCAAATGCCCACTTGGGGACTGTAAGCCTCAAAGAACTCAGTATATAGGCAAGACAACATCTCTTTCCAGGAGATTAACGATGCATAAGCAACAGGGCTCCATCAAGGAACATATAATCTCTTCACACAACCAGACCATCACCAGAGAAGTCTTAACAAACAACACAGAAATCATCGATAGATACAGCGATAGCAGAAAGCTTGACATCTGCGAGGCACTACACATTAAGAAGTCAACACCAGCAATCAACAGCCTATTAATGCACAACTATATTCTACCCACTTTAAGACTCCACACCAATATAGAAGCATCAAGAAATATGGGCCAATAGGCCCTTTGCAGTTACTTCCACTCTTCCCTTTAATTTATCCAATTTATACCCAATGCACGGTGTTCTGTCTTGTGTTGAAAGTTTGCTTTGTCTTGTGTTGAAAGTTTTGTTCACCTCATCCAAAACTGTTGTAACATATCACCTCACCCAAATGAGAGTATATAAGATAAAAGCTGTTTAAATGATAGCATAGTAAAACTCTGTTTAGTGTTTGCTGGTTATAGTTGTGTGTGTGTAAACTAAAGTCTTTGAAAATGCAATAAGTTATTACGAAACGCGTTCAAGTGTCGCGTCAGGCTAAAAATAAAAATGAATTTTGGAGAATTGATTTTTCAATTACCATCGACAGTGAAAAGAAACATAAGAAATATTGAGAAAATTTGTGTTAGAATTATTAATCAAACTTTTTCGGTCATATTTAATAGCATATGTTTACAAGAGACTGCTACCAAAATATACTAATATATACATATATATACATATATATACATATATATACATATATATACATATATATACATATATATACATATATATACATATATATACATATACATACACACACACTCACACACATATATATACAGATAACCTTACTTGTGTGCCTTCATCTGAATTGCGCATTAAAATGCCAGCTGATGATCCTTGGGGGCGCTTGAGGGTTATGTCTTGGATTGCCCATAACCCAGATGGTTTCTCTACAGCACACACAATAGGAACTTCGCTCAGTATCACAGTACAGTACATCACTTCTCCAACTAAAGCAGCCTGGAAAATGATTACTTTCTTCAGTGACCAAATTTGAAAACACCAATCACTTCATAAAACTTTAACATATTTATTACCATCAACACTATCTTTGGAAATGTTATTTTCAAATTGTAATCCTTGCCTACTTTTTCATTTATCTAGCATTACCACCCATCCCTTTCCCACTTAATTTCACTTCCATGAGCATCTTTGCTGAAAAACCCTTCATTTGCTTGCCACATTCAGGGTTGCACCGTTTTGATGGCTCCAAATTCAGATTTAAATTTTCAATAAGCGGTGCCGTCTATCCTTGAAATGTTTCATAGCTTTGTTTTGTTCCATTTCTTGTTTCACATTTGTATTTTGTCCATTTGCCCTGAGTATGCTCTATACTCAGCTTACCAGCTTGCTTTCCCCGTGCCTAAGAGTTAAATTAACATCCCTGAGAATTTTGGATTTTCTCTCCCATAAATTGACTCCTTAAGCCCTTTCACTCCTGTATAGGTTGTGGGTTTGCTTTCTACTGTAAAACCTGTTAATGGGGAGTGACTAGTTAGTTGTGTGGCTATTGTGCTTAGCTCTGTCCCCTATGCTTTAATCAAGGGTGTGCTTGGAATGTGTAAACAATAGTTCTTATCTGTGGCTGCATACTTCACATCTCACCAAATGGTTAAGGTTTTGCATCTGTGTTTGTTCAAACAAGACTTACTTACCTGTGAGGACAATCCACATGAGCAGTATTCTCATTCCAGGGAATGATTTTGTCAGACCTGTATATATGAGTAGGCTGTTATCGACTTCTTGCCTGCCACAGTGCCTTACACTTGACATTACTGTGTGCAGTTTTTTCAGAGTAAGGTTCAGGGCTTTTGAATGCTGAGCCTGCTGTCTCCTGCTGCCTCTGTCACTCTACCTACAGGTTTCAAGAGTATTTTGACCCTCAGGTGAGTGCCTTTTGTTGGTGTTTCACCTCTGATTTAGCTGAACTAAAGTGGCTCTTGGAGTAACAGACCACCAAGCTCAGAAATAGGCACTGACCAATATAAAAATCTCCTTTTTGGGCAGATCCTTCAATTTCTCTCCCACCATTTTAGTCTCGGCTTCTATGAGAATGTTTGGAAGGCTTGGACTACAAAAACGGGCTGTTAGCTCATCCGATTCTTATGTGGTAGCTAATGATGCTATCCAGTGGTGGTCAGTGTAGCAGCTAAATAATAATTTGAGTTAGCAAAGTGATACTGTAACAATGTCCTGTGATTTAAATTTTTACTCAGAGGGAACTCTTGAGTGAGCTTCATAATTTTGTCTAATAGTGAGAGGTTACTCAGTGATGAAATGAATTATACTCTCTTATATCTGCCCTCTCCCAAAAGCAGTAGTAAAATTATTTGCAAAGTTTTTTATCATGGTGGAGAGGGAAATTGGCTTGGGCCTGTTGAGTGAATTGAATTCTGGGTGTATCATTTAGGGTCTGGCTCAGGAAGCAAATGAGGAACTTGCATAGAAAGGAGTATTTCATTTCACTTAACACAATTTTTTACTAAAAATTACTGAAAAGAGGGCCAAATAATTTAGTTTATGTTCTTATTTTTGGAATGCGTATGTGCTGACATGACTTGATCCCAACATAAACCCCACATACACACGACTTCATCATTACAGATCAGATCAGATCTTTATGAATCACTCTGATTTATAAAAATTGGAGTATTGTAAAGGAGAATTGAACTATAAACAAAAATAATGAGACAATGCAGTACCTGCAACCTTGTACACTTCACAATGCTGCCAGTCAGTCTTCCTGAAGGGACGGAACAACCTTCTTCGTTGATTGGATTAATCACCCTCTTGATGAGTGGAGGACCTCGCAACTTGAAATATGGAAGGGTATGCTTGCGTTTCAGGATTCCTCGTAGTTGAGAGATGATGATGGAGTTGAAACGTGGAATGTGTAGACCTAAGCTTGAGTACACCTCAAACTCAACCTACATGAGAAAACAAAAATGTTTGTGCTATTATTAAACTTCATGCATGACATGTATGTCATGCTAGACCTAAATAAGATTTGACAAAACCATTTTTAACCCTTAAATGGCGCATAGCTATATACCATTTGACACCCACAGGCGCATACCAAAAAAAAAAAAAAAAAAAATTATTTTTTCTTCCTAACCTGTTAATTTGTGTTCACTGATCACGGGAAAAATAATAAAAGAATCGTAAGTGGCATATATTGCCCACTATAGGGCGGGGAAGTGTGGCAAAAATCAGGCGCTGACTAAGCGTGCGTCCCAGGCGGTCTGTTGATCGCCAGCTGTCAGGCCAGAGTTTCCACAAAGAGATAATTACCTAATTATTTCAATGTCTCTGATTGATTTTTCGTAGTTTTTTTGCTGTAATATTATTCAATAGTGTGTAGTGTGATATATTTATATAATAAAATGAGTGAATCATCGCTGTACTCAAAAATATGTTGTGCATATTGTTGATTCAATTATGTTCATCAAACAGTGAACAAATACTTTGTCGGTTATTACACTATATACACAGGTTATATATAAGTATCTGCATGTTTTGTTCACCATGACAAACCACTAAGTTGGTATGCTGAGTGGCAGTGGCAGGCAGTGACTGGCTGCCACTCCCTCCCTCACCTCACCTCACCTGATTTGCCACCATTCTCCACCCACCATACTGTTTTTGCTTTTATATACAGACGCTATATATAAGTATTTACATGTTTTGTTCACCATAACTGTACATCTAAGCTTGTATGGTGAGTAAAGGCAAGAGACGTAGCTACTCACACAGTCAGCTGGTGGCGGCCGCCCTCAAGGCCAGACGCACTAATATTTCTCCTACAACAATACTGTTTGTGGTGTTATTACGCTATATACACACATTATATATAAATATCTACCTGTTTTATTCACCACACTTGTACAAGTAAACTGGTATGGTGCCCAAAGACCATCGTGGTCATCAGTAAACAACATGATAAGTCCTGCTGTAACACTGTAAAAGTGTTTGAGTTAGTTTATTTAAAATATATATAGAGTACATGAGTCACAGACAAGGATCTGAGAGGCGCCAGTTGTCTGCCTGAGATCTCACACCTCAAAGCGTTAATGACCCCAAGTGACCTGAGGTCAGATCATGCGAATTTCACCTTGCTTCTGATAATCTCTTAGTTGTAGTCTGGTAGCCTTCAAACATGCCGACGTTTAAGGAGTGGCTTGGTAGTGCCGGAGGCTATCTATTTGTGGGCGGAGTTAGCTACTAGGTTCCCCAATATAAACTCGGAGAGCTATCGAGCATGAAGCATTAACAGACAGAACAGCAGACGAGAGCAGAGAAGACGTCCCTAGCAGGGAGGCTGTCGGCCGGCAGGGGCGAGACAGTCTCTGTCAAGCTACAGACCCCCCCCCCCTCTCTATTCAACTTAGACTCAGTCCTCGGTGAGTGAACATTAAGGTGACTTGGTCGTGTTTACATATGTTGTGTGATGATCAGGGGCAGTCAAGTTGTAGGGTTCTCGAATTCTTGGATGATGACTCACTTTGCATATTAAACTGGAACATTTTAATTGAATTGCTAAATTATGATACTTCATGGGAAATATAATTATGAATTTATTATTTAAATTGTGTTTAACTTTGTTCCCTAGAGATTTGAGTTGAGGTGAGAAAGCCTCTGTGGTTACTGGTTTCATGATATTAACGAGTACATGTTTGGAGTTGATACATGGTAATAACATCTTTTGAGAATATTTTGATACAGACAAGTTCCATTCCTTGTCTTGTATGTAATGATCATGAATGGATGGTGGCAGCATTTCGTCTTCTACTATCTACTCTTCTACTTCTACTATCTACTCTTCTCCTTCTACCTATCTACACCTCTCCCTCCACCCCTCTCTGAACTCTCACTTTCAACTAATGACCCTCCTCGCTCCTCCCACCTCTCTCCCTCTCACCCCAAACCCTCACTAATTACTTCACTATTCATTTCTTTCCTCTCGTTTTCTCTTATACGTTTGTGGCAATGATTTTGTATTCTAGAGTTCTCTCTAGAGTTTCGGGTAGCTGATCCAGTTACGGCTCCTTGTAGTCTTAGCACCTAGGTAGTCAAATACCTAGGTTTACAAGGTGTTGAACGAGAGAGGTTGCCTTAGGAACTCTGGAGGGTGCTCTAGAATAGTTAGCTAACTGGGGACGGGATAACGGACTAGAGAGAGCTGTTTCCCCCGGCCTCGTTAGTTAACTGGGGGGTGGAATAATGGACAAGATAGAGCCATTTCCCCCACCCCCCGTTACAATGATGGCAGCGGTGTTGAACAATGTTGTAGGTAGTTGGTGTTCTTTTAACATTGTTCAGTCCCACGTGTCTTTTTGCCGCTCAGGCGCTATCAGGGAGATCTTGACAGGTGTTTATTATTCGCGAGTTAGCGAACTTTTTTTCAGGTTAGGAGATAGTGATTCTCTGGTGTTGTGGTTTAGTGATTTTGTGAGTTTTGTGGTGTTCAGGGAATGTTCACCAGAACTTGCGTGTGTAGTGATTAATGTTAGTAATAAGATTTGGCGATTTGGGAACTTAGCGGTGTTGGTAGTGCAGGTCAGCTGAGTGTGACAGGTGACCTCGCATGTCCCACGGGGACACCCAGCCACCGCTGGTCTCCAGGTCAGTGGGGAGTGGCAGGTGTAGTTTTTAAATAGTGGTTCTGCTCAGATTATTGCGATCGACTGTTTTACTCCATTTGAACGCAATAACCCGAGGTGTACTGGTATTGTACAGCATGCTAGTGTGGACTAGTGTGTCAGTTGACTCACGTCTAGGGACGCCTGACGTTTGAAGTCTGGTCACAGGGGTGGCAACAGTTTGGAGTTGTTGACCGGCGGAGATGCTAGGGAAACACTCTGGGTCACGTAGGTGGCTGTAGGTTAAGGGTGGGAGTAATGGATATTTATGTACTTAAGAGTAGGAACGGTACAGTTAAGTTAGGCTAGCGTTTTGTCTATTAGTGTTGATTTTTTTTTGTGTGACAGGTTAAAAGTAGTGATGACCTTATTCTCTCTTCTCTAACTTTCCTCTGTTACTGTTTTATGTTCCACCAAGTCAGTATCATTCAGAGTTAATTGGATTATTAAAATTTGAGTGTAGTCATTGCCAGGAGGAGAGCTTATAATTGGACTGTGTGAACCCTATACAAACTACAGGGTCACACAACATGTTGGAACACGGTATTGTTGCCTTATGTTCATTCCCAGGTTGGAGCCAGAAGAGAGGCGAGGCGCATATGCAGAAGAGAGAGACGGCTGCTGTGTACCATACTCACGGGCGTTTATCACCACCACCACGACCAGCCCACTACCTGGAGGTCATGGCTCCACCACCACCACCACCCCAGGGGACCCCAAGATGCAGCCCTCTCGGTCGGTCAACATTGGTCTACCCAGTGGACCCCCAGTGGACCCCAGGTCGTTCTGCAGACGACCCCAGACGACCCAGTAAAGATGGAAGAGGAGCAACAACGACTCCAGTCTGTCCCACCAACATCGGTCTACCCAGTGGACCCCAAGACGGACGGACCCCAGTGGACCCCAAGACGGACGGACCCCAGTGGACCCCAGGTCGTTCTGCAGACGAACCCAGACGACCCAGTAAAGATGGAAGATGAACAACGACTCCAGTCTGTCCCACCAACATCGGTCTACCCAGGATGGACCCCAGGACGGACGGACCCCAGTGGACCCCAGGTCGCTTGTCAAAGACCTATGGGAGGAGGAAGAGAGAAGTAAGAAGAGAGAAGAAAGAAGAGAGAAGAAAGAAGAAGAAGAAAGAAGAGAAGAGAAGAAGAGAGAAGAAAGAAGAAAGAAGAAAGAAGAAAGAAGAAAGAAGAAAGAAGAAGATAAGACAAGCTGAGTGAGGCACGATGCCTAGTGTTCCTTGCTGGTGTCAGCATCATTGCATGGAGCGTAATTGCAAGACAGGATCGTTTGCCTTAACTGGCCGCCCCTCCTGCAAGCATGTTGCTCTGTTGAGTGATTCATCCTGTGTCGTGCGGACTTGATGTGGCTGTCAGAAATAGCTCTCTGAAGGAGGCGTGCTGGAGCAACAGGGGGGAAGAAGAGTAGGATGGGATTTCTACTGTTGGCAACTATATGAAGGTCTCGAAACTTGTAGTCCCTATAGCTGTGAAGAACCCCAATATACGTCTCTCATGGTGACTGACGTAGGGCCAATTACAGATCAGCTGGGACAACCGAATTCCACGGTCCTGTGCGCAGTTCAAGTAGTAACGGCTTTCGGGTTGACCAAGGGTTGTTGTGCGTTAACGACGGAGAAGCGACGGAGGCAGTTGTGTTGAAGAAATGTGGTACAGGATTATCTACAAGACCAAGCAGTGACGTCGCCCAGCCAGAGACAATGGACGTCTGTCTACATATTTCATTTTTTTAGAGTAGGATGATGTATATTTGTTTAGCTAGGATGTATTTTTTTTTTTCGTTAATAAAGTTGTTGCACACAGCTAGCTTGCTTTAGCAGTGCTGCAAAAACTTTATTTCGGGGAGAAGGGGAGATGTAACACTGTAAAAGTGTTTGAGTTAGTTTATTTAAAATATATATAGAGTACATGAGTCACAGACAAGGATCTGAGAGGCGCCAGTTGTCTGCCTGAGATCTCACACCTCAAAGCGTTAATGACCCCAAGTGACCTGAGGTCAGATCATGCGAATTTCACCTTGCTTCTGATAATCTCTTAGTTGTAGTCTGGTAGCCTTCAAACATGCCGACGTTTAAGGAGTGGCTTGGTAGTGCCGGAGGCTATCTACTTGTGGGCGGAGTTAGCTACTAGGTTCCCCAATATAAACTCGGAGAGCTATCGAGCATGAAGGATTAAGAGACAGAACAGCAGACGAGAGCAGAGAAGACGTCCCTAGCAGGGAGGCTGTCGGCCGGCAGGAGCGAGACAGTCTCTGTCAAGCTACAGACCCCCCCCCCCCTCTCTATTCAACTTAGACTCAGTCCTCGGTGAGTGAACAGTAAGGTGACTTGGTCGTGTTTACATATGTTGTGTGATGATCAGGGGCAGTCAAGTTGTAGGGTTCTCGAATTCTTGGATGATGACTCACTTTGCATATTAAACTGGAACATTTTAATTGAATTGCTAAATTATGATACTTCATGTGAAATATAATTATGAATTTATTATTTAAATTGTGTTTAACTTTGTTCCCTAGAGATTTGAGTTGAGGTGAGAAAGCCTCTGTGGTTACTGGTTTCATGATATTAACGAGTACATGTTTGGAGTTGATACATGGTAATAACATCTTTTGAGAATATTTTGATACAGGCAAGTTCCATTCCTTGTCTTGTATGTAATGATCATGAATGGATGGTGGCAGCATTTCGTCTTCTACTATCAACTCTTCTACCTCTACTATCTACTCTTCTCCTTCTACCTATCTACACCTCTCCCTCCACCCCCTCTCTAAACTCTCACTTTCAACTAATGACCCTCCTCGCTCCTCCCACCTCTCTGCCTCTCACCCCAAACCCTCACTAATTACTTCACTATTCATTTCTTTCCTTTCGTTTTCTCTTATACGTTTGGGGCAATGATTTTGTATTCTAGAGTTCTCTCTAGAGTTTCGGGTAGCTGATCCAGTTACGGCTCCTTGTAGTCTTAGCACCTAGGTAGTCAAATACCTAGGTTTACAAGGTGTTGAACGAGAGAGGTTGCCTTAGGAACTCTGGAGGGTGCTCTAGAATAGTTAGCTAACTGGGGACGGGATAACGGACTAGAGAGAGCTGTTTCCCCCGGCCTCGTTAGTTAACTGGGGGGTGGAATAATGGACAAGATAGAGCTATTTCCCCCACCCCGCGTTACACTGCAGACGACGCTCCACCCTCACCAAAATGGCGGCTCCCAACCTCCTACTCTCGCTGTTATCTCACACTATACACACGTTATATATAAGTATCTACATTTGTGTTCACCATAGCGAACCACTAAGCTGGTATGGTGAGTGCAGTCAATAAAAGGTGGCCACACACACTCAAAAGACAACGCCACCATCCTCCCTCCCACAGCATTACTCCTCCCTCCATGGCGCACAGCGCCAAATATCACCACAATCCTGCTATTATCAGAACCCTGGTCAGTTTTATCACAGTCAGGGGTCTTCTGTAATAATATCATCGCTACATAATAGCATGAACAAGTATATTATGGCATTTTTAGGCGATGCTGTGGTCACAAGCTGAACAGCAGTGCTGTGAGCTCATGCTGCGTGCGTCAGGCTTGGTAGCTGACTCAATACTGAGGCCCTAAGACCCAAGAGTTTGGCCCACGATTTTTTTAAAAAATGGCGTCTGTTTACAAGAGCCCTGATGAAGGTGTGGTGAACCCCGTGTATCCGCGGGCCGTTTAAATCTTGCATAGTACTCCAAAGCATCACATGATGCGATGCGCAATTTACTGCAAGTCGATCAAAGCATCATATGATGCGATGCGCAATTGAAGGGTTAAGGAACACAAGATCCTTTAATTTTAAGTTAAATTATGATCATACAGCTTTCTATATTCATCATAATCATCAATAACATACTCCCCCTCTTGAATTGGGATGGGCAAGCATCTGCCCAGAAATAAGATAAAATCAGAAGATTTAAAATATAGTATTGGAAACCATTGTCAAGCGTAAAAAGAGAAAAAGAGGAAAAAAAGAGAAGAAAGGAAAGAGGGAGTAAAAAGAGAACAGAAATATTTTGCAAACGATTTGTAAAGTTCTTTATCTCAGTTGGATGAGTCAGCTACAGCCTGATGTTTTAGCAGTGTTCTGGGAGGACTATGACTGTTGGTTTAGATTGCAACTGAAGGTGTGTTGCTTAGAAACAAATTGAGCTGGGCAGGGAAACCCAGATGCAACAAAAATGAATATGCCACATGTAGTACATTGGGGTGAGATTTCACAGTATCATTTCAAGGGAATCTCATAGACCCAACACTGCATAGTAGTTGGGTCTGGTTAACAAAAACAATCCAATCTGACTAGAGATTGTCGATACAATATCAAGATGACTACCAAGGGGCAATTGAGAGATTTCTGCAAATGTTGAAAAAGTAAGTGGCACAGCATTATTATGAAGCAGGACAACAATTGGGATAAAGCTGTATCACCAGCTCAATTTGTAATATGCTATGTAGTGATAATCCATTCTCACCACTTCAATTAATGCTTTTTCCCATTGTCATGGACAGGAATCCTGTCAGGCATATTAAGACTCACATAGCTAAGGGCAACAATGCCAGTTAGTAAACCGATATAATGGTGTTGAAACACTGTCCAATTGACACACACATCCCCTGCACCACACCAATGGTAAGAGATACCTTGAAGGTCATGATGGAAGGATTAGCATGAAGGATTTCTTATATTTATCAACATGAATATAAGAAACAATAAGCTGTACTAAATATAAATATGGTATACACAAACAAATACATTGTGACAGATTATCTTACTTGAGGTTCTTCATAAAAAGAGAAGCTCCAATGGGTGAAGGGATGCCGGGAAAACTGCAGGCGACCATTACCAGAAAGATGAACAACTGTAGACAATGATGATCAAATCAAATACCATAGCATGAACACGGTTGATTTATTAAAAAATTCTTCTTCTTAACATAATTAATACACACTAGAATGACTACCATTAGTCGAGTATTAAACATTTTGTTTCAATGTATGATACTTTATGTAAATTCAAAATCCCAGATTTTTTGTTGCCTGTATATCCCAGGAAATGGCTTTCCTTAAAACAGCTCTTTATAACAATATTTAACTCCATCCCAGACAAACAAGCACAACGTGCTGAATAATACGTAGAAACAAACCTTTAATTTTAACCATGGCAGGCTTGGAGAACCGTGAGGATGCATCAACAGCCAACTGGATTCCACCATTGTACTCCACTTCTACCATGATGTCGATTTGTTCAAGAGTCGAGACATCGGGTTTGAGATTCACACGTTTAGCTGTCACTGCTCGAATGACTGGGAAGTTTGTTCCTAGATTCAAGTCTCGGATCTGAAATCAGCATTCACATAGATCCTTATTTGACAAGGCAACCCTGTTGTACTTTATATACTTTTCCTTATTTAGCTTATATGTACAGTACATGGCTTACCATATCAAAATACAGTATGCAGCAAGACAGATAATTATCCCCCTTTGCCATTAGCTTTGTCTTCTTAGCATCTGTCACACAAACTGCCAATGACAAGTTGCAATGAGTATAAATTACTAATATATACTGTAATTTCAAACTGCTAAGACTGAAAACATTTGGAAAAAGACCCATATATTGAATCTGTAATGATGTGAAGATTTCATTCTATTTAAATAGCAGTAAATGCTGAAAAATAGAACTGTAATAGGAGACAAGTTTTCATCATAATCTATCCCAGGGGAAAACATACACAAATCACAAGTAATTACACATTCAATCCCTTGAATGACAATTGATCGGGACTTGCCAGCCGACCATAGCGACAGATGGTGGTTCGCGCAGCGTTTCTCCCGTAGATCCCTTTGAGGCTTTTCAGGACCCGTTGTCCCTTGACAAGCATTCCGGTCACGACTTTCTCCCGGTCTTGGAGGGGGATCCCGAGTGTGCTTTTCTGGACAGTAAACATCATAGTAAGGCTAACAGATTGGAGGTGAAACGTCGTCTGCATCCTGCAGTGCCCTGTGACCCCCCACATCCTCTGTCTCCACGTCCTCCACTCCCTCCTGGTCAGACAAATTCTCCTGGCCTGATACATTCATCATCGCTTTTGATGCCGATACACCCGCTGATCGGAGTGTATTTTGGAAATAGTAGGGCACGCAGTCTTTTCTATCTTGAGGTTACCTTGAGGGATAAAGTCGTTCAAGTTGTTCCCGAGTTCTTTAAGATCAAGGTGCCCAATTTCAGGCCGAATAAATGCAGGAACTTGATTGCAGTGGACCACGCTTCCTCCGGGGACTTGGTGCTTTCGGACACTACTGATATGTGTGGTTACAAGGTCCGTTGTTATAAGCCTCTGGGTGACCGTTTGGTACGATATGTGGTCCAGCATGTTGTTGACGTTAGTGCGGACGACATCAAGGCGCAACTGCAGGATGGTGATCTTCCGATCTTTGGTGTCAAGAAATTGATGCCGACCTGTATGATACCAGCACTGACCTCCTTACTTTTTTTTGACTCCCTCCCCCCCTGATCGAGTTTGGATTAATGGCTTCCTCCATAAATTGGAGGTGTACGTTCCTCCATCCCACTCAGTGCTTTCATTGTAAGGGTTTTCACCATACTTACCATTGCTGCACCAATGACGTTCGTTGTGGCAAGTGCTCTGGTTCTCGTTACATTTGTGACTGTGAATCTGACAAGCTCTGTTGCCCCAATTGTGGTGGTGATCATGCCATCACTTTAAAGCAGTGTCCTTCCTACATTGTGGCGCTCACTAAGGCTCTTCCTGTCGTCACTCCGCCCGGCAGTCATGCTTTGCCTCATTCTGCCCCAGTTCCTCGTCACCCACCACTTCCCCCTCCGTCGCCGCCTACACCTGTGCCTGATCCATTTGTCACTGACGATCCTCTCGCCCCTGAGGCTTCTTCTCTCCCACCCGCCATTCAACTGAGTCCCGATCTTCTTGCAGCTATTGTCGCTTGCTTTGTGGATGCACTCAAGATGATGCTGGTCTGCCTCATCACTAAATTCTTTCCGCAGTCCATCCTTTCCGTTCCTGAGGCTGGCCTGTCGCTCCTCTCCTCCGCTTCTTCTACGGTTGACATCCATCCTCCCGCAGCTGCCTCTGCTGTCTCCAATGCATTTGAATCGATGCTGGACAACATCCTTCGAAGCTCTTTGGCGAGCCTTCCCTGTCTCTCCCCACCCAGGCTGCCTTGCCGCACATCTCTGCCCCCGGTACTAAGCGGAAGCAATCCTCCATCGTCCCGATTTCCAAGTGCCCTGCCACCTTGCCTGATGGGATTCCTACATCGCGTTCTCCCACGACTTGTCCTCGCGCCCTTCATAGGTCTTCCTCCCATTGTCTTGCTGGAGCTTCTGCGGAGTCCAATGCATTAGCGTCCCAGTCGTGAGGCTCCAGATGCCATCTATGTACCTTGCCCTGTCCTAACCTCGCCTGTCCCATCTTGACTTCCTCTACCCTTCTACACATTCGCTCCTTGTATCTTCTTCTGTTCGCGCCTCCCTTCCTTTCTCACGTCTGCTTTGCATTTGCCTCCTTCACATCCTTCAACCCCCCCCCGCCCTTCGTCTCTTGCCTCCATTCCTCGCTTTCTTTACTGCGGAGACGCTTTGTATTCCCCTTCTGTTTTCTTTATTCCCATTCTGCATTCCTTTCCTCTTGTTTATTTTGTCTTTATCCTCGCCCACTTTGACGACGTCGTTTTCTTCTTGACTCGGGCACGTCGTGACCGTTGGTGTGTTGTTGTGCATTGTCATATACGCATCTTTCTACATTACCACTCGTGCAGTTTTTGGGAGGATATACCTTTATGCAAACTGCACATATTTTGAAGCAGAAGAAAATTGATCAATTAAGCCAGCCTGCTTAATGCAAATTGGTAGCTCTACTTAGTAATAAAAATTACTGTTAAGCCCTATAAAAAAAGGTTTGCAGGCCCTAGTTAGTAATTAACAGTAATTCTTATTACTAAGTAGAGCTACCAATTTATGTTAAGTTAGCTGGCTTAACTGATCAATTGTCATTCAAGGGATTGAATGTGCAATTATTTATGATTGGATAGCACTGGTGTTAGGGCTTTCTGAAGTGTAAAGGCACAATTCAGCCAAGTGTTTAGAAGACCCATGACCAATGGTCACCTTCAAATGATTACACATTGGTGCCAACATTTCATAGGTCAGTGCTAAGTTTCTACGAACTGAGCTAACAAACTGAATGACTGAGTAGCCAGCGCAGGGAGGGGAGGGTTGCGCAGACGAGCAGTGCTGCAGTAGAAGATGACGCTTGCTTGTGTTTGTTTCCTTGGTATTGGAGGGAGTTTTCTTCCCTTTTTGGCTGTTAGTTGTCATTTTCTTACCATGTGGGGTTTGCTTTGTTATGCCTACCATTCTGGGTGCCTAATCCCGGTCGATCCCTCACCACCACCACCAACACTCCCTCACCATCACCACCACTTGTCCCAACATTCCCTCCCTCACCACCACCATTCCCTCCCTCACCACCACCAACACACCCTCCCTCACCACCACCACCACCACCACCAACACACCCTCCCTCGCCACCACCACCAACACTTCCTCCCTCGCCACCACCACCAACACTTCCTCCCTCGCCACCACCACCAACACTACCTCACTCGCCACCACCATCAGTCCCTCCGTCGCCGCCACCAACACGCCCTCCCTCGCCGCCGCCACCAATACTCCCTCCCTCGCCACCACCACCAACATTGCCACCCTCACTATTTTTATCCCTCCCTGCCACTTCCCCTCAATGCCTCCCTCCATCAATCACTGCCTCCCATCCCTCCCTTAATGCCTTGGAGATCGGTGGCCTGTTGCCATGTGAGGGCCTACTGATACTAAAACAAACCCAATACCGACCTACGATTATATCGACCGCCAGATCGGTATATGAGGCTCCAGATACCGGTCTCCCAAACCGGTCGTTATTATCGGCAGATCGGTAAATAAGAGGGCATTAAATCAAGTTGATACTGCATACAGTATGTAAAATTGCATCTCTAAAATGCTTCCTGAAGGCATCTCTGATTGCAACAAATCCCTTACCCCCCAACAAATCTGAGTTGGTCCCATATAGTTTGCCGAGATGAGGTTCCACTGTACTGTATGAATGCGCTAATTCTGGTAATCCAAACGAATTAGCATTCAGCGTTTTCGGGTAAACAGTAAGAGTAAGAGAGTAAATACGAAAATGTATGGGTAAACAGTGAGAGTAACAGGGTTGTTACAAAAAATAGTGAATGTTAATTTTTGGATATTTCTAGTAAGAAATTTGGCTACGTTGAATGTCTGACTGACTCAAATGGCCAATATAATTCAGATTACCAAGCTTAGACAGTACAGTATATTCTGTGACAAATGACTGAAAGCCTAAGTGGAATAAACAGTAAATATACAAACACAATGTTGGGCATGAATAGAGATAAATTTGTATTAAAAAAGCCTTAATGAATTCTAAATTCTAAATCAGCTTTGTTCATATTTTAAAATTAAAGACTTTCTTACCTGCATATTGTGGATGAACTTGGAGAGAGCTTTATGCTTCAAAAGATCATTAAACTCAAGTGTGAGAATGTTTGTGAGCCAACGCATGATTCCAGATTCATGACGTTTTTCCTGAATGACAAAAACACTTTAATAAAAATATATCACTTATCACAACAATAATAACAGTAATAAAATAATAATAATAATATACATTATTTGCAAAAATACAGGATCAAATTACAGTGATTACTTAGTAGGTACACAACAGCATTTGTATATTTTATAAAGCAACTACTGTAATTAGCATAGCATGTAATGTAAGGGTAAACTTAAGATAATGAGTATTGCATTTTCACATTTTTGAAGTAATCCTTATTTTAGATATAAGACATACATATAAATGATAAAAAGAAATTGAGCAAATAATATTAAGTTTTCTACTATGATCTTGATCTTGTGGTTATCTTGAGATGATTTCGGGGCTTTTTAGTGTCCCCGCGGCCCGGTCCTCGACCAGGCCTCCATCCCCAGGAAGCAGCCCGTGACAGCTGGCTAACACCCAGGTACCTATTTTACTGCTAGGTAACAGGGGCATAGGGTGAAAGAAACTCTGCCCATTGTTTCTCGCCGGCACCTGGGATCGAACCCAGGACCACAGGAACACAAGTCCTGCGTGCTGTCCGCTCGGCCGACCGGCTCCCTGATACTTAAAGATGAAAGACATTGACTAGTTTATTTTGTGGAATCTCTAACCTTAGTGTTAATTATAATAGTATCTTAATACTTTATTATTCACAATAACAGCAAACATAAATTGTCTTATACACAAAGAAATCACACTAATGTGGTACAGTATATATCAATGAGAAAATCAACTGGAGAACTGTTCAATCCACGAACCTCCACCTCCGCAACAAACACTCCCTACCCAGGGCAGGACGGAAACCGAAGACCCCCGCTCCACCCCAAGGGCAAGGCTAATGCCAAGCGACAAAGACCTCGATGGGAGTGAGTCCCGAAAGCCCCAGAGAAGATAACCCTGAACATGCATGGGTAGTACTTACAGGGTGTCAAGGGAAGTTAGCCCTTAATGCATGCAGCCCTGCATACAGAAGAACACCTGAAGAACCACCCCACACAGCTGGCACAGCCACACAGGGCAAAAATCCAGATAGGAAAGCGAGGCCAAAGGTAATTTGTGCCCCCAGTGCACAAGAATTGAGCTGCCAGCTCGCCTGAGTGGGCTCAGTCTGAGGCGGGGAAGGTGCTAACGAGCGGGCGCGCAAGTTGGATGACTATTATGCTTGTTTATTTTTATTCTTCGGGGGGAAGGGGAGTTCTTTGGCTCTGTTTGGATATAGGTTGCAATTTTCAGCTGTTGGAGGTTTGTATTGTTACGCCTACCTTTCTGGGGGTATACCTCGGTCGATGGCAGACATGACATATTCTACATTCAGATTGCTCATATGGCCATTGCTCCCTGCACCTCTCTGAGAGAGGCCAGGTTTTGGCTCGTGGTCCCAGTCGGCAGAACTCCCATAACTGATGTCCCCAAACTAATATAGCTCATATTAGTCTGGATAGCTTCAGGAGCTGACGGGGCTCTCCACAGAAGCAACCCAAACGAAGGTCAAGCATGCTGTGTTCTATGAGAAAATTAATTCATTTTTTTAGATTTTAATTATTTTAAAATGTGGTCATTGGCAACTACCCATTGGCTTGGAGGTTCCTAGCCATCTGATACCCTCTCAGTCTTTTTTGGCATTGTGAAGGAAGGAGGGGTTATGGTTCCCAATGAAGCACAAATGGGGGTCACTTTTTGTTGTAATATATCATTAATTTTATTGATTATTCCACATGAATATGTTAAAACCTAATTACAGTATTGAAACAGAAAACATAATGAAAATACAATATTTGAAATAAATAAATATAACAGACTATAATTTTCTCGTCAAAATGACTACCAACGAGTGACGCCACCACACTTGCACCCGCCTCTCTGGGAAAATTCCACAATACTAAATAAATTTGTCCATGGCCTAATATGGCTCTGTAGTAACTACACAATTGCTGCATGTTGCTATTGGAAAGCCCTGGACACATTGTAGCAATACTGTACATGAATTTTAACTATAGTTACAATTGGGCCTGACAGCTGAGTAGACAGCACTTCATGTTCGTAGTCCTGAGGTTCCAGGTTCGATTCCCGGTGGAAGCAGAAACAAATGGGCAGTTTCTTTCACCTTAATGCTCCTGTTCACCTAGCAGTAAATAGGTACCTGGGAGTTAAGACAGCTGCTACGGGCTGCTTCCTGGGAGTGTGTAACAAAAAAGGAGGCCTGGTCGAGGACCAGGCTGCGGGGATGCTAAGCCCCAAAATCATCTCAAGATGACTCAAGATATAGTATGTATACACAGTATTCACACTGTATATTAGTATAAAATATTATAGAATACATATATTTCATTCACCTGAGCATTAGAACATTTGAACCTGACCCCATGAGCAGGAGACATAAGCTCTAACCACTATGCTATGAACAGCTTTAATAAGGAAAGATTTGAGAAACAACTAATTGCTGCCCAGCTGAAATTTTATACTTTTCCTGGCTGCTACTAAAGCACACAGGAGTTAGTGATCCCTGCCCATGTCATTATATGACATGGCAAAGCTCACTAATTCCTATGAAAGAATAAAATTCCAAGCACCAGAGGAGAGCAGGATACATGCCAACCCACCAACCAGAAGCAAAACCGGACCGAAGGGGACACTGGAAGGCTAGGTAAAAGGAAACTGGCCAAGGTAGTGCAAAAGCAGGCTGGGGGCATGCAAGACAAGAAGCAGAATAGAGCCGAGACCATCGACCCCAAACACAACCCGCAATGGCTCTGCCATCTCCACACAACATGAGGCGAAAGAAAACTGGGACAGCCACAAACATCGAAGACCAGGGCACCACAGCCAACACTGGAAAAGCTCCTGCTGACGTGACCAAGATATGAAAAGAAAGAAGCCCACCCAAAAAAAACTAGAACCCCCAAAAAGGGGGGAAAGGCCGACCAGACACAATACGGCCCAAAGTAAAAACAAAATGCCCATGAATATGAATAGAAGAAAACCCGACGAGCCATCACTGACCACCCAGGGAGGGGTGAAGGACTGCCACAAATGGAAGGGAGGCTACCTGTTGAAGATTCCGGGGGTTAATGTTCACATGGCCCCAGTCTTTGACCAGGCTTCCTGGTTGCTGGTCTGATCCACTAGGCTGTTTGATACGGCTGCTCGCAGCCTGATATATGAGTCAGCCTGGTTAATCAGGTATCCTTTGAAGGTGCTTGTCGAGTTCTCTTTTGAACACAGAGAGGTCGGCCAGTTATGCCCCATATGTGCGAAGGAGGTGTGTTGAAAAGTCTTGGGCCTTTGATGTTGATCGAGTTCTCTCTCAGTATGTCTATTAAACCTTGCTCTTCAGTGCTCTTATTTTGCACATCCTGCTATGTCTTCTGGTCTCATATGGTCTTACTGTATTTCTGTGAGCAGATTTGGAACCAGTCCTTTTAATATTTTCCAAGTGGAGATTATTATGTTTCTCTTCTGCCTGTGCTACAGGGAATACAGATATAAAACTTTTAGATGTCTCAATAATTTAGATGTTTTGAGTGAATTCTAGCAGTAAAGAATCTTTGTACACTCTCCAGGTCAGCAATTTCTCCAGCTTTGAATGAGGCTGTTAGCGTGCAACAATATACCACTCTCTGAGAGCACTTGTGTCTTAAAAAATATCATCATAGGCAGCCCATCCTCCTGTTTTGGTAGTACAGTACTCTTAGTAACAACGAGGACCATAGTATATATACCGACGTACAACGAAATTAGAAGGTAGAAATCTGAACTATTGTGTTGGACAAACTGGAAATCTATTTTTTTACTTTATTTTTTTACTTGTGCTGCTTTGACAAACTAAACTAACCTAACCTAACCTTCCTAGTCTTAGTATGCGATATCTGAGGCCTAATATAGTACACATGTGTGCTATACTAGGCCAAGAAATATTTAAGTTTATGTTTTAGCTTTATTTATTTTAAAAGAATTCCTTACTAGTCAGTATACTACTATCTAAAACCTAAGAACGTATGAATTCTGACAACTGTCACAATAGGTACTATCTAAACAGAAGGATGGGTTGTCATAGGCATGGCATCTTTTGTTTGGAAGGTTCTTGTTATCCAGCTTGTCATTTTTCTTGCAGCTGTAACTGCAACTTTGTTGTGCTCTATAGAAGTAAGGTATTCTGACATGAGTACTTCTCCAGTGGCTGGGAGCTACCAGAGACCTGGCAACTGATACACCCAAAAGCCTACCCCAACACACCACTGGCAAGGCCCCAGCCCAAACAGACTGTGACAAAAGGAGAACAAAGCCCTCCAGGATAGAACCCAATGGCAGAGAACCATCAATAAAAAGGGAGGCACTGCAAACCAATGCATCAGAAGGAAAAAAGGGAGGCTGGGAGAGCCTGTGCCACTACCAAAGGAAAAAGTCAAAACAGCCAGATGACCCAGAGGTGGACGGCTAGGAAGTGGCTTTCGCTACCAGGAGCACTGGAATGGACAGGAAGGGAGCAGCTGCATGAACCCACACACAAGAAGGGCAGGCACAACTAGCAAGTACGAAAGGTATCCCAGAGAAGCCTGAAGCAGTCTAAAACCATCACCACAAGAGCGAGGACATGACAAAAAGGTGCAAAACCTTTTTGCTTTGCAAAAGATGTCTGCAGGCCAGGGACACTAGAACCCGAACAACAACGAATTGGGAATGGAATACGCAGGAAGCAGAAAAGAACCACATAACCCATGACAAAGGAACATGAAAGGCAAGCACCTGCAGGGCACCAGTCCCAATGCATGCAGAATTAGACCCAAATGGGAGCTGCACCCATAGGGAACAAGCAGGGAAAGGGGAAACAAAAACCCCACACCCCCACAAGGAAAGATCCCCCTAAAACTCCACACACCCCACAAGGAAAGACCCACTGCAAAATGCCCAAGTAGCCACAGAGTTAAAAAGGTACCCAAGGCCCCAACACCAGCTCCTCTTAAGCCCCGAGAGCCACTACCAGAGGGCCGCAGGGCACAGCCAATGTCCACGCCCACTGCCTATAAAGAACAGGAGCCCAAGGGAAAAGCTTCAAACAGAAAGAGGGCTGGCAGTATGAAACTCCTTAACCACTGCACTACGCAATGTACTTTTAGGTGTTCAACAGGTGGTGCGCAACGCGCCTCAGGGATCTTATAGTTATAGCGTACAATTCAAAACTGGCGCGCAGTGACGTGGGTACGAAATGTATGCCTGAGAGCCCCAGTGATCATCCACCATTTTGAAAAAAAATCCCAGAATGCTCCAGGGCTGTGGGGAGCCTCAGTTTCAAGGAAGCAACCATGTCAGACACATCGTCTACGAGCTCCCGCTCCACGGTCGGCCGCTGACACGGAAAACGACTCTCTGAGGAGGAAATACGCGACATATTGTATGATGATGGAGCGATGGATGATAATTTAGACTACGCTCCAGAGAAAGACCTAACATAGAGGTCTGACATGAGTGAGGGGGGAGAATGAGGTGGAGGAGGTCGTGAGTGAGTACAATACAAGTGCCTCACCCGACCTGCCTCGCCACCCCAGGTCAACACCGTAAACCCTTTAACTGCGCAACGCGCCTGCAGGCCCATGTCTGGCGTGAGCTATGTGCCTCCGGGTATTTGTATTTTTCACATTCCATTCAAAACTCCCGCGGCTACATGGGGTTCATATCAGCTTCCTCAGGGCTCTTGTAAACAGACGCCATCTTTAAAAAAATCGTGGTCCACATTCCCGGGTGTGAGAGCCTCAGTAGTGAGTGAGCAACCAAGGCCGGCGCATGCAGGATGAATTCACAGCACTGCTGTTCAGCTTGTGACCACAGCATCACCTAATAATGTCAAAATATATATATAACTTGTATTATTTAGCCATGATAGTATTACAGAAGAGCCTGAGTGTGATAATGACTGTGTACAATGTTCAAATATTAGTGATTCAATGCTGTTCACGATGTTCACAGCACTAGCCACAGCACCACAGCATTATTTCGTCCATCTAGGAATCTTCAAACGACTTCTTAGGTTCCTTTACCTAAGAAGTTGATGCCAATAACTCTTATATACTATACTTGTACTGTACAGGCAATCCAATACTCGGCACCAGCGGAACGGGCAAGAGAGGACACCAAAAAGGGGATGATCCACACGAAGACACTAGGTAAAACGTAATAGTGGCATGAATGGCATGAATAGAACCCTACAGTGGGAACGGGTACAAGTGAAACAAAAAGCCAATGAAAAGACCCAAATTAAAACAAGTACAGTACTGTACTGCAATCTCTCAGGACACCAGACTGTGGAGGATGAGTAAACAAGGGAGAAAACTAGACCAAACCAGCGAACAGATTGGAAAGACTACCTCAACGCACCAGGGTGAGGGCGTGCGAACCACAGTGCTTGTCACTGTGGCTTGTCAAAGGTTCCCCTCATTTGCCTTGATGATCTTTTCCAGGTGGACTTTAAAATTTAACAGTTTAACATTTACGGCTTCGGCAGGTTGGCGGTTCCATGGGTTTATAACCCTGTGGGTGAAAAAAGCATTTCCTGTCCTCAGTCCTACATTGTGGCTTGTTGAGCTTGAAACAGTTGTTCCTTGTTTGTGTTACATCTGACTTTTTGAAGAAATTGTCCAGATCAACATCCTCCAAATGAAGAGGTTTTGACACATCAGGAGACATCTACACAATGATCGATTGAGATCGTGATCCCAGCAGAAAATGTCCATAAAACATGTAAGTTGACCTCATGGAATGCCAAGAAACTGGAATAGGCAAAGACAAAACAGAAAAATGAGAGGTCAAGAAATGCCAATCTCAAGTCTTCAACCATGTCTGAGGCTTTCCCCTCACCTGCTGCTCCACCTGCCAAGTGCCTGCGACTGAGTGAATGGCTGATGCATGAAAAAAAAAAAAAATGTGTGTGGTGCTTTAAGCCAGAGTCAGCCATTATCCTGAATAAGCTATCCTTGATTTAGCACAGTCATGCATGGATAGCTTTCAAGTGCCACACAGGGACCCTCAAAGATCAGAAAATGTGAGACAATAAACAATGTGATCGATTATGCAGCTGATAACTTCTTAGCAATTGAGATCAGATATCACAACAAATGCTGGTTGAAAGATGCACATAGTTACACACCAGAAAATGAGTGAAAATGATAAACTCCCATGCATGCACGAGGCTCGGATTATCTTTTTTTTGGCCACACCAGACTGACTATCTTTGAGGAAAATGAGCTAAGGTCACTACAGAGCCTCCTCAAAAACTACAGCTCAATCATATATCAGTATGGCTTCCAAACATCCAACATCAAGTTATCCTATATCAAAGATGTCCTGACCTGGGAGTTTGAGGGCAAAATCAGCTTCCTCACATTCAGAGGAACCAGAGTGATCAACTGAAGAGAGTGAGGAAGATGACAGTAAGGAGGGGGGGGGGGAAAGGGGATGATGATGTGTAGAGGAGAATGTGGGGGGGGGGGGGTATTCATCAGAATCTTATGACTAAGAATCTAGGCAGGCAGAATACTCCGATTCGGACTGATTATTCCTCTCAAGGTCATATTGATTCATCAGTTACAATGTCATAATGTGAAATATGACAAAAGCATAATTGTTGACTTCTAAATGTGTTGTGGTGTAATTTGTCTACAGAAAATGGGCAAAAAGAATTATTTTCAGGGTAAAATGATTCTCTAATTGATATGTTTAAGTACTGTAGTTTCATTTGAAACTGTTCAAGTTACAGCTATTAAAAAAACAAGAGATTATTCTGAAATGTAATGAGCTATTATGAGGACATTCGGTGCGCGTTTGTTTTACTTTTGCATATAATTAGTGACTACAGTATATGAAATATACAAATACTGTACTTACTAGGTAACCACTATAATCTGAATCTTTATTTTAATAAATAAAATATTATTAATGTAATATAATAGTCTTTAAATTAATAGTGAAGTCAGCTTAAAAGCATATTAAAACAGTACCAAGCTGGCAATTAATGTGCATTTTTATAAGAAAGTATCAATGAAGGAGTCAAGACAGAATATACATCAAGCAATAAGTGAGCAAACTAATAGGTTACTTCATTATATAGTACAGTACAGTATATCCAATATAAACAAATGAATACTGTACTGTACTCTTACTTGGAAAAAGAACTGGAGTATTAAGTTGAGTGCCAAGCAGGTCTCACGACGGTGGAACCCATCTCCTTGCTTTAGCTTATCTACTAGTTCTTCTGGCAGGTTAGTGTCTGTTATTGATGGCTTTTTGGATTCTGGTTCTGGCAGACTTTGTGTTGTTAACCACCACCATGCTGAAACTACTACGCTCACAGCACCCGCAGCAAATACAAAAATATTCCACAAGAGAATTCCAAGCATCCTGATGACAGTTGATAGTGGTATCTAATTTTGAGTTAATTAAGAGATATCTGGAATCCACTGATGCTCATCCTCACTGAAAATATAGCACAAATTTTATATTAAATAAACTACATCTTTCATATTCACACTGGTGAGATACATGCACACACAAACGGAGACTAACAGGCACACATACCAGCAATACTACGAAGCAAGAAACAATTACACAGCAGTGAAAAAGAGAAGCAGAAATTAAATTTGAGTAAGGTATAGCAGAAAAATGTAAAACAGAACCAGGCCTATTCAATAAATTCATTAAAAGTAAATAAATTAGAGATATAAAATAGTAGATATAAAAGAGTAAATAAAAAGCAATAAATTCAATTATTCATTAAAATTCATTACATTAAAAGTAAAATACAGGTAAAGGATAAAATTCAGATGCTGAAAAAAGGGGAACAGATTCACAGAAAATGAAAAGGAAATGAGTGAAACACTAAACAAACATTTCCAAAATGTGTTTGTGCAAAATGACTGACACAGTCATGATCTGACCCTGGCTGTGGGCTGTGATTGGGTTTCTCCCTTTCCTCTCCCAATCGCATCCATCTCTTCGCCTCTCCACCAATATTCTCCCTCCACTAACTTCCTCCTCTCCCTCTCTCCTTCCCACTTCCACACCCTCTACCTGTCTCCCTCCCTCTCTTGTCTCTCCACCTTTCTCCCACTCTACCCAACATCCTCCATACATACATACATTATCATGGGGGTGAGGAAGCATCAGCCTGGAGAAAAATAGTGAGTAATATTGTAAAGTTCATAGTTATTAATAAAATAATTATAAATATATACTTAGTCCATTCATAATTACATGCCAGCATTTATCCTCAGCAGCACCCCAACACTTGATAAGACCAAATGTACAGCACTCCTCATGAATTGTCATATGTTCTATATACAAATACATTCACTCTCTTTATAAACTGCTGCTGCCCAGCTTTGTATCAGCTTTGTCACACAGTTATTTACCATGATTTCCCACCTTCCTCTTCTCTTACATTAAATTTATTTTGAATACACCCTTTACTAGTCTTCCATTATCCATTAACAGAGTACTGTATGTTTAAACCATCTCAGCATGTTCTCCTCAAACTTGCAGTTTACTGACTTTTGTACTTCACATCTCCATGATATTATAATTTATTACAATATTTACTTTTAACACTGACCTCATCCATGCACTGTATATATATTAAACCAACCAAGGTGGCATTACACAACACTAACTTACACCTATATTAATATGAAATCTGTCACCGATTACACAATTAACTCCTATTAACTCTTGCATTATTCATACACTATGAACATCATATTCACATTAGCCCTTTTTAATATTTCACCCCACTAGACTTTTAAATTATTCTTGCCCCCCCCCCCCCTCACTACTACTGCTAGCCTCTTCACCATTAACTTTCTCCCATGCCTATATTTAACATTCTTATTTATCCATTTTTACAGCATTACAAGAGCTTGAATAAATTTGAAAAAATATGAAACGGTATTTGTTTTTTACAACTGAAAGTACTTGTGCAATCTATGACTATAAATAGTAACTAGTCAATTTAATAAAAACTACAGTAATAATTTATATATTTACCAAAACAGACTGAAAATATATTATTCAGCTAGTAGATTTCTAAGGTTTGAGTTGAATACAGACACATCAGTGTTGGGAATTCTATAGACTGCACCCACAGACAGGACAGACTCGGCACCCTTGACTCTGAAGCTGGCGAAGATATACTCCCCATAGCAGTCTCTAGTTCTAATTTCTTTTAAGCATGTTAGTTCTTGGTGGTAGTAAAGAGCAGTGCCACCACCTCTCTGAAGTTGACGACAGTTGTGAATTGCTGAGTAGTTAGGCATGTTAAAGAGTTGAGTAGTATCCTCTTTCAACCATGTTTCAGTAAGTATAATAAAAGAGAATTTGTTGCCAATAGTTTCAATCAAGGCACTAACATCATCGAAGTGTTTACCTAGGGATCTAATGTTCAAATTGATTACAGAGATATTGTGATTATGAGTTAATACATTGTTTACATCATGTGCTGCAAAATATCTGCAATTTAGATCATTAAAGTGATTATTGTCATAGATAGTGGATAAGAGGTTAAGTTCTGGGTCTATACTTGACTGCATAAAAAAAGCTGATTGTAGAATCAGAAATAAGTAGAAATAAGCTATAAAATAGGGAAAAATATATACACAATACTGTACAAAAACACAAAAGGGGCTTACAGGGGTACAATGGAGTAAGGGAGTATGGCTAGGCTAGGCAACCTAGGCAGTTAATGAGATTAAAGAAAAAACATGTAAACATGGACTATACAAAACACAAGATATAGAAACAAAAAATACAAAAAAAACAAATTGAGCAAAAATGAAAAAAAAAACGAAAAAATGAGGTAGATTGTTTACGAGTACTCTCAGGTACACTGTAAGTAACAATTTGCAATTTGAGATGCAGGCAAAGCCAGGGGTACAATGGAGTAAGGGAGCATGGCGAGGCTGTAATAAATGAAATCAAAGAAAAGTTGAATAATAAACATAGGCAAATTTAAGCTAATGATTAATAACTATAGATAGTTCAGTAATGACTGTATAATTAAAAAGACCTGAAGAACTACTAATAACTCAATTAAATAATTTCGGTAAATGACTAGGTAAGAGTAAGTTAAAAATTAAGTCAGAAAATGAACCAAGGAGATTTAGGATACCTAGCCCCACTAGTTGACATATTTGTAACACTAAAACCAAAACTACACTGAAAAAGCTATTGAACTGACAGCTCAAGCCATTTCATGCATGTAAATATAAAACACACCACGACAAAATATGTTAGAGGAGGTAGGAAGGTGAAGTAAGACACGAGTGAGTAAACTACAGTAGTGGCTAACAAAGGGTTTATGAACTGCATCTACTACTACAAGACTGCGACCTGTATGGGATACCACAAGTACAATATGTACACTTAAATATCTCTCCAGTTGTAGATTTTTATCATTATCATTCTAAAAATATATGAAACAGCTCGTTATTTAGCCATTAAGCTTGCCATTTCCATACGTGAGGCAACAATGACGCTCTGAACACATAACTCATCAATGACAAAAAAAAATATATATATCTTTCTTCTGAAATCCACCTATTCATAACGACCTAACGTAGCTCAGTCCTCCGACTTGCACTCCCATCCGTAATATATCTTGACCGCGTTAAAATTTACCACATTGAAGGTCGGGTCTTACCTCATTAACCATTCACACAGACATCCCCCGAGCGTCATGTCAGAGGTGTTCCACCATCCTCACAGCTGACGTGCAGACGACGCCCGCTGGAGCCTTCACCTTTTGCCGACAGATGGCACCTCGCGCCTGAGCGATACTCAACGGAAATTAACAACTGCCAAAATATTGATATCTGCACTGTCTTTCATAAATAATATACTAATGTTAATTATTGTAATAAACAAATATTTAATATATGGTGCCTTGTCATATCCATGTGTATTTAGGGTTCAGACACCGAAGGATTTTACGAATAAAATGCAACGTAATTAACAGAATATTTTCATTGTCATGTGCTTTGCATTTGTAAACAAATCTCCGAGTGTTCAGAGTTGACTTTGGCTTCATTGGATGAAAACAGGCATATTTATCTTTAAATACCAACTAAGAGTTATTGTTCAAGCTTTTAATTCTTGTATTTATTTATATAAGAAATATTAAAACAAAATATTAATAAAAATATTAGTTAATTTAAAGTTTTTTTTATTAACAAGCTACATGAAAGATTAGTGTAAATCAAAGACTAGTTATAGGTTCATCTAATATTCCCATCTCGCAGGATGGTTAGTCATACATGGAATCAGGGGAGAAAATACCAGCCTCAATACAAAAACAAATCAACTCTGACTAAAAATCAGTAGAGAACATGAAATGTAAGGCTGATCAATTAGCCCCCGCTAGCAAAATCTGGGTACAGCACAAAAATATCTTCCAACATTCCTGAGTTTATGAAGTAATTACAGAGCTCAAAGTACCTCATACCATTTGGTTTGAAGTCACCTATAACAGGGCAATCACAGATATAGTGTTGGAGAGTATGTCCAAGCTCTTGTTGTTCACATAGACTTGTTCAAAGACTAGTTATAAGTTCATCTAATATTCCCATCTCACAGGATGGCTAGTCATACATGGAATCAGGGGAGAAAATACAACAATTGGAATGTTCCCCATTGGGGGGGATTCATTACCTGCAGCCACCTACCATAGATATCGATATCCCAGCCTAATCCTGACAATTACAATGTCACACACTGTCTAGTGGATGTTTTATGCTTATCATTTTACGGGCTATTCATGCCCTTTTGGGTGGCTTAATATTTATCAATCAATCGAGTAATCATTACGGGCTCACCATAGCACGTGCTACTTGGAACTTTTTGTTATGAGTAGCTGAATCTAAAACAACAATAAACAACGAGTAATCCTTTTACGGGCTATTCATGTCCGTGCCACCTCTTGGGTGGCTTAATCTTCATCAGTCAATCGAGAAATCATTAATCAACCAGTTCCCTGCCAAGTGAGTGGTGTATGGTGGGACATTTCACAAATCACACTGCACGGCACAGGGGCCTGGTAGCCTGGTGGATAGCGCACAGGACTCATAATTCTGTGGTGCAGGTTAGATTCCCGCACGAGGCAGAAACAAATGGGCAAAGTTTCTTTCACCCTGAATGCCCCTGTTACCTAGCAGTAAATAGGTACCTGGGATTTAGTCAGCTGTCACGGGCTGCTTCCTGGGTGTGTGTGGTGTGGAAAAAAAAATAGTTAGTAAACAGTTGATTGACAGTTGAGAGGCTGGCCGAAAGAGCAAAGTTCAACCCTCACAAACACAACTAGGTGAATACTGGCCACGATTCCTCGCCGCAGAGACACGGCTTCCCTGCGACCTGAATGCCATACAAAATTCCCGCCTCACGCTTCCCATTCTCCTCAACTGCCAAGGCCTTCCCTAGACCCAGTGCTGTAGCTGCCCCGAACCCATCAACAACAACAAGGCTCAATTGCTGCAGAAAAAGAGGCAGCGCTCAATTACTGCTAGAGGAGAGGAGACCAAAGGGAGCTTTCTGATTCAACCTTGAAGCTGTGCGGACGTCCGACTTCTCCGCCTAGGGGTCGCCAGAGAACGTTGTGCTTTTTCTGCCCATTGGGTTACGTTTTGCTGTAAGGCACAGTCATTCGACAGGCCGGATGGTTGAAGCGCCCGGCGCATATATCGCTATGGGGTCACAGGAGCTTTGATGGATTTTCTTGCGTTTTCCGACTTGCACCTCAGGCATTGAGGTGAGGTCCGGAGCCGACTTGGCCGAGAGGTGCCTCGGGCCTGTCAGGCCTTGGAGATTCCTTTGTTCCCTCGGGCCTGTCAGGCCTTGGAGGTTCCTTTGTTCCCTCTGGACGTGGAGGGCGTCTGGCTTTTGCTCTGCCGGGGTTGTTACCCTGTGTGTGGTGTAGGTTGCTGGCGCCTGCCCTGCCATCTGGTTATGTTTCTTTTCGGGATAGCCTCCCATTTTGTTTTCTTACCAGGAATCCAGTTCGACAAGTTGCATATGTCTACTTACGTTGACAGCAACCGATTAAGGGGATCTTCTTGCCGAGATTCTATTCTTTGTAGTACATGCAGTGGAATGAATAGAACTGTTGATGCCTTGTCTAAACTTGCCCTCAACTCGGCAGAAAAATTTAAATGCTAAATAACATTTTGCAGTAGGTAAGTGCTCTATTTTTTTTCATGTTTCATGGGTGTTATTTGGCATGTGTCACAGAATTTGGTATTGTGGTAAGTATGCACCCTTTCTATTTGTCTGCTCTTGACTGCAGAGTAATGGCCAGAAATATCACCTAGAATTCTGAAATGCACATTTAAGTTCTTAAGAGAGACAAAACTGTCTTGCATGTAAGCTTGAAATCCACAATCGGCTTAATACATAAAAAGGAGAGGCACATAAATCAAAGTTAAAAAATGAATTGTGTAGGTAGAGCCTATATACAGAACTTAAACTGTTGTAGACCTTTATCCAAAATGACAAATTTTTTTTCCAATGTTATAATAACTTATATGGGTGAAGCTGATAGACTAGGACAAAAATATTTGCATCATTAATTACCTACATGAATACGGTAATTTCAGGTTGTTTTGGCTATAAATTCTTATTGCAGAAATTATATACAGTTTGGTTCACCTTATAGTTTTCCATAGTCTGGAACAGGAAGCCTGTTTAGCTTATCATGTTCCCTGGCCCTAGGCCAGCTACTGATGACCATCTCCAATATGCAACCCACAACAGTTGCCTGACTCCTGGGTATCTATTTTACTCCTAGGTGAGCAGAGGCATTAAGTGAAAACAAATGTACTTGACCATCTCAGTTCCACCTTGGATCCTCAGTTGTGAGCTGAGGAAGTAGACCACTGCACTGTACAATGTTTTACACATTTTTAACCTACTATTGTAAATCATAATTAATTGCTCTGGAGACATTACTTATGAGAGCTTGTAATTATTGCAGTACTGTACTTGCAGTGGTTAATTTGGTTTGAGACTCCTATAACCCAGGTGAATGAAATTAATTTTGGTATATTATGTACCATTGGAAAGAGCTCAAACATCAGGCAGTACCCAGTACAGTGTTCACAATACATAGGTTAGGTAGAAATTATATACAATAGGTTCTTATTTTACTCTATAATAATAATTTCCTCAGCCCTTTTTGATGATAATCTTATACATATACAAAATTCGTCACCCACTGCTGCAATCACTTCAAACTCCTTGGGTAACACTCAAGCTTTGGACAGGTTTTTATGAAGATGGAGGCAAAATAGCTTATGACTCACTCACCAAAAAGCACTCAAATGTTAGTCAAATTACCTAAGTTAAGCATACTGCAATTACATAATTTGTTGATGATAATGTTAGTGAAATGTGAAATATAGTCAAATGGGGTAACAAAATAATTGTCCTGATGTTATTTTTTTTAAATAAAAATGGGACCTGATGCAAAATGCTACTCTACCATGTGCAATCCATTGTTTTTCTTATTACACTTTATTTTGTTGAAGCATTTTTAATGCAACTTTATTATTCATATGTAGCATAAAATGGCTTGAATTTAGAATGAGGGATTGTGCAGAGTATATTGCATTTCAATATTTTATGAATTAATGTATACATTATTTAGTTAGGAAGTATTTAATTTAAACATAAGTAAATAAATATGCATTATACCCCAAACTTAACTTTTATAGCATTAGTATCTAGTAGCTACTGAATTATTTCTCTACTAGCAAAATGCATACAGTGGCCATAGCTAGAGACTTTACCCAATAAATGGTAATACACAGATTGTCAGACGTAGAATATTCAATTTATGATTGTCTCATTGAATATTCCATATATACTATTTTCTGGTTTAGGGCTTCTATCCCTCTTACTAATGCTCTTGCATCAGGGTTCAGCAGATTTCCTATAATTAATCAAAACTACCCAGCCCGATGGAATCATTGCTTCCCTGGACGTCAAATCCCTATTTACCAACGTTCCAGTCAACACAACCATAGAAATGATACTGGACAGAGTACGTATACAGAGACGAAAGCACCCCCAAATTAGACATACCCGAGCCACACTTGAAGAGTCTTCTCGAGGCATGTACAAAGGAAGCCCCTTTCATCAGTCCACAAGGAGACATGTATCTACAAATAGATGGAGTAGCAATGGGTTCCCCCTTAGGAGTGTTATTTGCTAATTTTTATATGGGAATCATCGAAGACAGAGTCTTCAGTAGCAGACAAAAACCAACTGTATATTGCCGTTATGTAGATGACATATTCATCATAGTAAAAGACTCAGACGAACTAATTGATCTAAAAAGCCATCTAGAGAGAGAGAGAGAGTCAGTACTCCGATTTACACATGAAAGTAGTGAAAATAACAGTCTGCCATTCTTGGATGTACAGTACTAATAACAAAAACAGGAACCTCTTTAAGCACCAACGTATATACTAAGCCTACCAACATAGGATTATGCCTGAACAGTAAAAGTCAGTGCCCCCAAGGATACGAAGCCAGTGTTCTCAATGCTTATATTCGTCAAGCACTTACCCACTGCTCCGAACGTGAGTAGAGAGTTTGAAAGAATAACACAGGTATTGGTGAACAACGGATATAGCAACACGGAAATAAATGCTGCTATAAGAAGACACCTGGACCGATGGTATAATCCTGAACCTAGAACAGAAACCACAATACCTCCAATAAAGTTATATTACAAATCAACCATGCACAGTGAACATAAAAAAGAGGAAAGAATAATGAAAGAAATAATCTGTAAAGGAGTAAAAAGCATTACTCCTAGCCAAAACATACACCTGATGAATAGGGAGCTGGTCGGCCGAGCGGACAGCACGCTGGACTTGTCATCCTGTGGTCCCGGGTTCGATCCCGGGCGCCGGCGAGAAACAATGGGTAGAGTTTCTTTCACCCTATGCCCCTGTTACCTAGCAGTAAAATAGGTACTTGGGTGTTAGTCAGCTGTCACGGGCTGCTTCCTGGGGGTTAGAGGCCTGGTCGAGGACTGGGCCGCAAGGACACTAAAGCCCCGAAATCATCTCAAGATAACCTCAAGAAATCATATTCTACAAAACCAAGAAGACTTCCGACCTTATCAAAAACAGCCCGAAGCCGATGGAGAACCCTCTACAGCAGTCAAGCGTTGTATACATTTACACTTGCCCCCACAAAGGATGTAACCTTCAATCTAAGTACTGTACATAGGTATTACGTCGACCAAGCTGACGAGGCGTTTGATCTGTCATCTTCAATCCGGTGCCCCCAGGAATCACATGAGACAAGCCCATGATATCACCCAAGCAAGAGAAATGTTGAACAAAAATACCTGTATAATAGACAAAACCCAAGATGTAAGAAGATTACAAATTCTTGAAGCAATTCACTTAAGAATAGAACAACCTGCCATGAACACCCAAATCACGGAACTATTTACTCTACCCACCATGAGAGTATGGACAAGACTGGAATATAACGATGCCAACACAGAAGACACTGCTCAACATAACAGGCCTAATACACCTGATTAATCTTTGTATGTGCTTCATCCCCCATTTATTCCCTATGTATCCCCTTACCTTTTCCTTTATTGTACTTGTTTTATCACCTGACCCCCGTACTGGTATAAATTAACGAGTTCTGTAATTTCTTTTCACTTGAGAATGAACCATGGAGGTTCGAAACGTTGTGCGATTTTATAATTAGTGTAATATATTCTTCAGTTATTCAATTCTTTTCTTCACCAAAAAACAACATGACTTTTGGTGAACTCCTCTTCCAGCTGAACCCTGATGCAAGAGCATTAGTAAGACAGATAGCAGCCCTAAATCAGAAAATAGTAAATATGGAATATGCTGTCATATTCAATGAGACATGCATAAAAGAAAACCTGCTACCAGTACTGTATACACTAATTTATGATTGCTGTATCAATTTTTTTCAGGACAATTCCATCTCCTCCATCATGTATCACAGCTCGGGTGACACATACGCTATCCTTCCCACTAGTATAAAGCCTCGTAGGCTCCAGCCTGGAAAGCGAACTATACTGGTTTCGATTTTACTCTCTCTGATGCTATTAATATCACAGCTTCTGCGAGCCTTGCAGCTTGACCAGCCTCCAAGACTGACAAATGTTAATATGCAGGTGAGAGTTTTAGATTTAGTTTTTCACACCACACTACTGATGGCAAAGTATATTAAAGACTTGAATTGATCTTAATGTTGTTATATATTTTTATATTTATGAGGAACTCTTCACTAGCTACCCAAGGGTAACTATTTCCACCGAGCCGTAACCCAACACATCATGCCTCTGAGACCCCCTCTCTCACTTATCTGAAGACAGGCTGTATGATGATTTGCGTGGCTTTTGTTCTATGTCCATATTGGGTTTATTCTTTTTTGTGTGCTTTTGGCTAATTGTCATGGCTTTCTCATCACAGTCCATACTTGAAAGCAATTTGAAGTTTCTCAGGATGTGCATTGGTGTGTTCAAGCCCTTTTGGCCATTCCTTTTGTCTCTTGCAAGCAGCCTGTTGGATTTAGAGGTCTATTCACCTGTGTTTGTATTGTTTATTGGTTCTGGCCAAGCCACCCTGCTTGGCTGCCTATTGGGTTTTAGCTGCTTAGATGGACTGGACTTAACTGTATAAGCCTTTGTAGTCACTGTATATAGTAAGTGTTATGGTTCACATTTCACCACAGTTTTCAAATAAAGTTTGTGAGTATCTAATCTTAATACTGTATTATCTTAAACATTTGTATCATGTATCTGCCTTGGCCAGTTCAGATGGTTTCGGTTCACTTGACATCTGTGTTCTTTGTCAATCCATGGTTCTAAGCAGTTTCAGGCTGCAAATCTGCAAGCAATCATTGGGCTGGTAGAGGTGGCATTGGAATATGAATAAGGTTAAAGATGAGTTGAGGTATTTGGTTTTCTGGGTTCTGAGGTTTTCTCCAAGAAGTTCCAGATAGATCTCTGTCCCCATTTAGACCTCCCTCATTGTCTGCCTTATTTTCCAATTTGTTTACTTTGCTTTACTTTTAGGACAACCTGACCCAGAATTTTCACCAGACTAACACGGCTCTTTGATATTTTTGTGTTTAGGGGGTTCTTTGTTTTTATATACCTTTAAGTTTAAGCACCCAGTCATTTGACTTTACTGCTGGCCAGAGCTCTAGTCCTCTCTGAGTTGGTCCTCTTTGGCTTTCTGATTAATTGGTAGACATCCTAGTTTGTGCTTCTTCAGGTTCGAACTTGGTAGAATCCGGTTAGGGATGCCATGGTGATTTCCTTCTCTGAATTGGTTGACCCAAATGACCCAATACCTGATCAGCCAGGCTGTGACTCATACGTCAGGCTGTGAGCAGCCTTGTCTAACAGCCTGGTTGATCAGTCCAGCAACCAGGAGGCCTGGTCGACGACCGGGCCGCGGGGACGCTAAGCCCTGGAAGCACCTCAAGATAACCCTTTTGTGGCTGTGTCTCCATCACTAGCTGGTGCTGGAAAGGTCTCAGCCTTCTTGTTGGGATCTCAGGTGCCTCCTGGTTAGCTTAAACTTTGTGTGGTTTACCTGATGTTCTTCAAGTCAAATCAAATCAAATCAAATCAAATATTTATTCAGGTAAAAATACATATATACAATAAAGAGGTCTGGTAGCTGATCGGACAGCGAGCAGGACTCATAATTCTGTGGCCTGGGTTCGATTCCTGGACCAGGCAGAAATAAATGGGCAAAGTTTCTTTCACCCTGATGCCCCTGTTACCTAGCATTAAATAGGTACCTGGGAGTTAGACAAACTCCCAGGTATCCAACTCCCAAACTCCCTGCTAAAAAATATTAGTTAGTAGTTAGTTACAGTTGATTGATTGACAGTTGAGAGGTGGGCCGAAAGAGCAGAGCTCAACCCCTGCAAAAACAACTAGGTGAATAAAAGATGAGTTACAAACATAATGTTGGATTTCTAGAAAGATCTAGTACATACAATGCCTAAAGTCACTAATATGCACAGCATTTTGGGCAAGGTGTGGGAAAAAACACTTTACACTGAAACTCAATACTAATTGAGATCAAAGCATAAATTGAGTTAAAAAAGGGAAATGGGGGGGGGAAGGGGGGGGGACATGGCAGAAATCAGCAGTTATACAAGTTGGTCAACAAACATTTCCCTGTCCACGGAATGTACGATTGACGCCGACTCCTTCAGTTGGCTCTGCTGGACGTACGGGATCCCAGAAGTCGATCTCTTCATGTTGGCATGGTTTCGGCATTACCCTTCCCCGACTGCGGAGCTTTCACAGTGGACGCCTCTTGGCAGGACTGGTCGAGGTGGGGTTACCTGAATCTCTTCCCCCCTGGTCTAGCTGTTGCTTCAGGTTCTGGCTCAGTTGGAGTCATACCACGGGAGAGTAGTCCTTGTGGCCCCTTGGTGACCGGCCCAGCCTTGGTTTCAGGTGTTGCTTGTTTGGTATGTGAACCTGGGGCGTTTTCCTCAATTCCGCCTCTTCCAGCAGGTCGGACCGGTCCGGTACACTGCTGGTTCGATCTTCTCCTCCGCTCTTCGTGTCTGGTCTTTTTTACGCGGGTTTATCACCATTTGTATGGTGATCAGGTGGCTTCGTTGATGGTGTTCCACCTGCGTGCTTCATCTCGGCAACAGTATGAAGTTTCCTAGTGCTCTTTCCAACATTTTTTCTCTCTTCGTAGGTTGTCTTCTATTTCACATCAGGTTGTCTTGTCCTTTCTTTCTTGGATTTTTCAGGACCGTCATTTGATGCCGAATACTATCGCCTCATATTGTGTGGGGCTAGCGGAGCCACTCCAGCTTGCGTTCAGGATGGATTTCACTTCTGCCCTGTTCTATAAGCTTTCACGTGCTTTGTTTCACTTCTGGCCTGCTCATGCACCTCGGCCTCAGTGGCCGGGGACGCGCTTTGGGTTGATCCAGTTTCACTCGTTCCCTGTTCCATTGCTCGGGTCTCCCAAGTGACCCACAGGGTTATTCAGTCTATCCAACCTGTGGTCTATCCTCGTGCCCATGACGTTCGTAAGTTTGCTGGTTTGGCTGCCGTCTTCAGCAACATGTCTTGGACTGATATTTGGGCGTGGGGATTTTGGAGGTCGATCAGGATCCTGGCCGCCTGTTCTTTGGTCAACATTCCTGGCCGTTCGTGTGTGGCTTTGGGTCACAGGTTGCAGCCAGTTGTGTCGACATCGAGTTGAGGAACACGTGGCAGCCGCCTCCCGGGTAAAGTGAGGTCGCCTCGTCTCTCTTTTCCGTATCTTTGCTTATGTAGCTCCAGGGAGCCGAAGGGGCTCCCCACAGAAAACCAGCATTGAATGTAATGAAACGCCATTATCTGGGTGAGCCCCGAAGGCTCCCTGGCACCCTCCCTCCCTCCGGTCGGCACTTTTCATGTTCTGATGCTTATCCTCCGAACTGGAGTTGCTGAGTAGCTGAGTAGCCGGCGCGGTGGGGTCTGGGACTCCCCCCTCCTGGGAAGAGGAGGGCTGCGCAGATGAGCAGCGTAACAGCGAGGTGTGACATTTGCTTATTTCCTTGGGATTTGAGGGAGTTCTGCCTCTCTGTTCAGTTTCCAGTTGCAATTCTCTTACCATGTGGGGTCTGTTTTGTTATGCCTACCTTTCTGGGTGTCTAACCCCAGTCGATGACAGATTAGGAAAACCCCTAACTACAGGGGGTTTTCCAAGGATCATTTCTCCCTGTACCTCTCTGTCGGGGCCAAGTTCTGGCTCGTGGTCCCCAGTAGGCTGAACTCCATTGACTAATGCCCAGGTCTAATGTAATGCATATTAGCCGATAGCTCCTGGAAGCATCTGGGGCTCACCCAGAAAATGGTGTTTTATTACATTCAACCCCATTTTTTTTTTTTTTAACATTGGCGGATATGCATGTAATTCTTTACACTATCGCACTCCGGGCACGCGCGCCGCAGAAATGACGTAATGCGCCATTCAGTGCGGGCGATTTTGAGGTGACACCAAAAAGTGTATACTCGTTTCAGTTTTCTCACCTTAATTCTCGTGCTACGTCATTTGTTTTGGTATCATTGTGTTCGAAATAGAATTCCCTACAGAGGTATATGCATATAAGGTCCAAAAGCCCGTCGTGACTCCCCACAGCAAAGCCTAAAGTCGGCCAAGTTACCCATGAACGAGCACCAATTGGCACACCTGCAGACTAATGTATATACTCGTTCAGTTTGATAACATAAATTTTCGTGTTACGTGTTTCATTTTGGTATCAAATTGTTCGCAAAATAAAGGCTCGTATTTTAAAACTAGTCCCATAATAATAGAACAATAAATGGAATTTTAACAAATATTTTAACTTTTGGACGCTCATCACCACAAAATTATTTATATATTTCCAGTGTTCTGACACCAATTTTCGTGTTACGTCTTTCATTTTGGTATCAAATTGTTCGCAATATAAAGGCGCGTATTTTAAAACTAGTCCCATAGTAATAGAACAATAAATGGAATTTTAGCAAATATTTTAAAATTTGGACCACAAAAGTATTTATTATCTTTCTGACATCAATTTTTGTGTCACGTCCTTCATTTTGGTATCAAATTGTTCGCAATATAAAGGCGCATATTTTAAAACTAGTCCCATAATAATAGAACAATAAATTAAATTTTAACAAATATTTTAACTTTTGGACACTTTTTGACGCTCATCACCACAAAATTATTTATATCTTTCCAGTGGTCTGACATCACTTTTTATGTTACGTCTTTCATTTTGGTATCAAATTGTGCACAATCTAAAGGCGCTCATTTTGAAACCACTCCCAGATTGATCAGATAAAATTTAAATTTTTAACAAATATTTTAATGAGTGACTCCGGACCGAGTCATCCGAGACGGCTCGGAAGAAAAATGGGTGACGACGGACGGAGACATTAGGGTGCGATAGTGTTAACTCAGTTTTGGCTTAATTTATGATTGTCTTGTAGAGAAAGCCAAATTGTGTTCTTGGCTCCCAGTAGACTCGAGTGGGTCTCAGAGGCCTCGTGTAATGATTTATGATTGTCTTGTAGAGAAAGCCAAATTGTGTTCTTGGCTCCCAGTAGACTTGAGTGGGTCTCAGAGGCCTCGTGTAATTCCCAAAGGTTTGGCAGGCCCAGTGTTATAGCTATGGGGAGCTTTTGATGAGTGACCCACCAAAAATTACCTTTCATTATTCAATACTTTATATTTGCAATAAGATAACTACATTTCTAATTTTTTTTATTTTCAGTCATTAACAAGTCTCAATGAGGAAACAGATATACCAAATTGCATCAAAACATATTTGGGATCATCATCTCAACATTACAGTTCCAACACCCCGTCATGTCACCATCTCCCTGCACCACGTGGTTTGTGTTCGCTCGTGCAAAATTTATTTTTTAATAAGAAGCCTCCAGAATGCTCTCATCAGATCAAAGTCACTTTTTGTATCTCGGTAAGAAATGCTGTTACTCTCTTGCCATTTGTTTGGTTTCATGCTTATTGTTGATTTGTGGATATTAAGTTTTAAAATAATCATGTATGAATACAGTATATAAATATGCTAATACAGTACAGCCTTTAATGGCTTCCCATTAAATACATGATTTAATAGAACCAGTAGAAACAATCAGGGGTCAGATTCACGAAGCAGTTACGCAAGCACTTACGAACCTGTACATCTTTTCTCAATCTTTGGCGCCATTGTTTACAATTATTAAACAGTTAATGAGCTCTGAAGCACCAGGAGGCTGTTTATAACAATAACAACAGTTTATTGGGAAGTTTTAATGCTTGTAAACTGTTTAATAAATGTAACCGAAGCCGTCAAAGATTGAGGAAAGATGTACCTGTACACGTTCGTAAGTATTTGCATAATTGCTTCGTGAATCTGGGTCCAGGCTTCTGATGATTTTTGACGGCCTATGAATACACAGGATCAAAATCTGATGTTCATACAGAAGTGTGGAAAGCATAGTGCTCTAAATCTCAAAACATCCAATGCATGTAGAGGCAAGCAAAACAATTAGAAAACATGTCTAGCGATAGTTAGACACAGGTAACAAACCCATGATCACCAGGTGGAAGAAATTGGCTGCTGCTGGCTCCTTTGCATTAGTTTTACCTTGTTGTTACATGGATATAATTAACACCTTATTTCATGAACCTTCTGCCCAATCTTGACCTTATGTTTCCTGTTTGTTTGGCTTTTCAGCTTAGTGTTTGTTCCTGGCTATAAGCATTCTAGGTTATTGAGTTATCTTCCCTCTGGCTTGGTTGCTGTGGCCTTAGGGCCTATCCTTGTACCAGATTTGGCTGGATCTTCCAAGCATTGTTTTCAGAGTCCATTCCCCATTTTGGTCATGTACGTAGAAATGCTGGTGGTCTCATTGGCAGGTTCAGTGTCTGGATTAAGATTCTGATGTAGATTAAGATGAAGATTCTGAGGGGTTGATTTGGAGTGAAAGAATGTCTTCCCTGTGTTCTAGTGTTTAGCAGGGTACTGCATTAGATTCCTTCAAACTCAGATTTGTCCCCCATTTGGGCTTGGACATTCCTGGACCTGTACAGAGTAGTTTTGTTCTCCTTCAGTGCCTTTGGCCTCACAATGTCTTACTTAGTTGTTCTTGTGTTTTTGCTGCCATGTTCCCTATTTCTTAGGTGGTGTGTGGCAATGAGACCCCAATCCTAGGGTGTAGTCAGGTTTCATTCTGGATCTGGATTTGCAAAAGTTCTCTCCAGTTTCTGCTCTTTTCTAATACTCCTTGATACTTAATTGGGTTTGGTGTGTGTAATTTTACTGGTGCTTTTATGTCACCTGGTGGCTACTGGGTATGTCTGGATGTTTTTCTTTATCTTCCTCTTCTCTAGTATACCATGGTTTCTTTGCTGGAATTCCCATGAGGTTTATCTGGCTAGTTTCCTTGTTGAATTTGTAATTACTGTAGGTGTTGCAGTCTGCTTTTCCACGTTTAGTTTTCTAGGCATTCACTCGCGGCTGTCTGGGGTTTAGGCATTCCAGCCAGGTATTGGTTGCCCTTTATTTCGTTAGGGTAGGAATGGCATTCCCTGCCCTTATCATGTCAGTGTTGTACTTATGCGGGTGACATCGTGCTGATGCTATCATTGTTCTCCCCTATAGATCAACATTGAACTTTTGATCTCCTTGTTATGTCCTCCTTTTCAGGAATAACACATACCTCTATCAAGGCAGTGTGGTGAGGTAGGAGAGGGAAACCATGAGAAATATTGTTTAACACTTTCCCGAGCGGAGAGTACACTTCACAGATCTGCACGGAATGCTCCTGGCGGTGCGGGCGAGTGTGCGGCGACACCGAAATGTGTATACTCTTTTCAGTTTTCTCACCTTAATTCTCGTGCTGCGTCATTCATTTTGGTATCATTGTGTTCGCAATTAAATTCCCTGCAGGTGTATATGCATATAATGTCCAAAAGCCCGGTGTGACTCCCCCGCAGCAAAGCCTAAAGTTACCCGTGAACGAGCACCAATTGGCACACCACAACCTAATGTGTACAGTATACTCGTTCAGTTTGATAACATCAGTTTTCGTGTTACGTCTTTCATTTTGGTATCTAATTGTTCAGAATATAAAAGCGCGTACTTTAAAACTAGTCCTATAATAATAAAGCAGTTAATTAAATTTTAACAAATATTTTAAATTTTGGACATTCATCATCACAAAATTATTTATATCTTTCCGGTGTTCTGACATCAATTTTCGGGTTACATCTTTCATTTTGGTATCAAATTGTTCGCAATCTAAAGGTGCGCATTTTAAAACCAGTCCCATAATAATAGCACAATAAATAGAATTTTAACAAATATTTTAAAATTTGGACCAAAAAAGTATTTATAGTCTTTCCAGTATTCTGACATCAATTTTCGTGTTACTTATTTCATTTTGGTATCAAATTATGCGCAATCTAAAGGTGCTCATTTTGAAACCACCCCAAAGTTGATCGGATAAAAACTGAATTTTGTACAAATACTTTAAATATTGGTCGCACGCAGGCGTTACACACTCGGACTCGGGAGAAAAATTGTGGACTCCAGGCGGCGTTCCTAGAGTGCAATATCATTTTCTCTGTGAATCCCTAAGTTTTTGCCGTTTTGTTTCCTCCTGGTCCATAGGGTTAAGGTTTCAAATGTTATCTCATAAGAGAGTGTGTCTGGCTGGAGATCTTCTATGTCCTGAGCTGCCACCAGGTGGTGATCATGAAAGGTTGTTACCCATGTCTAACTAATGAGTGGCATGTTTTCTAATTAGTTTACTGATTGGCTGTATAACCATTGGATGTTTAGGTGGTCTAACTTTTTGTGCAGTGCCCTCTTCTGTAGGTGGTTGTTGACCCCCCTATGCTTCCCTTGCCTCTATGAGATCACCAGATACACTCCCCTATGTATTTAGCAGACCTTTAAAAGTCATGTAAAGAACTGAGTGTTAAGAGGGGGCTGTAATAAACTGGTGCCTTACAACATTGGGGAGCCACTGAGGGTTTCTCACATACTTTTAGAAAGCAATAATTGAGTACAACTACAGTGGTACCTCGGCTTACAAGCGCCCCTGGTTACGAGTTTTTCGGGTTACGAGCAGGATTTGCTCGGAAAATTTGTATCGAGTTACGAGGGTTGCCTCAGGATTCGAGTTTGTTAATACGCGTACGGGCCGACCTAGCACGTGGTGGCACGGCGATCGCCGCTCAGTTTGCCAGTGCTTTGTGCCCAGTGACTATCCCGCCTGAATTCTTCACAAGGATTTACCGTTTATTTTTGGAGTTTTTGCTATTTGAGCATAAAATTTGTTTTAATATACATTGCAATGGGTCCCAAGAAAGCCAGTGATAAGGCTCAAGGCAAGAAATCACATGTGAGGATGACAATAGAGGAAAAGCAAGAGATCATTCGAAAGCATGAAAATGGTGCACGTGTTGTTGAACTTTGTAGGCAGTACAACAAATCCACGTCAACAATATGCACTATACTTGCCAAGAAAAAGGACATTATGAGTGCCAAAGTGGCAAAAGGAGTATCAACAATCACAAAACAAAGACCACAAATACTTGAGGAAGTGGAAAAGTTGTTATTAATTTGGATACAAAACAAGGAGTTAGCGGATGATAGTGTTTCGGAGGCTATCATTTGTGAGAAAGCTAGGGTATTGCAGGAAGACCTTGTAAAGAAAACCCCTGGAACGAGTTCAGAGAAAGACTTTAAGGCAAGCACGGGATGGTTTGAGAAATTTAGAAAAAGAAGTGGTATTCATAGTGTTGTGAGGCATGGGGAGGCTGCCAGCTCAGACAAACCAGCCGCTGAAAAATTTATTGAAGAATTTAAGAGTTTGCAGAGGCTGAGGGATACCTACCACAACAGGTGTTTAATTGTGATGAAACGGAACTGTTCTGGATTTAACCCTTAAAGTGCGCATCACTTCATATGAAGTGTAAATCGTTTTACCAGTCAACTGCGCTTCACTTCATATGAAGTGTATGGGTACCGCGCACGATTTGAATGGCCCGCGGTGTAGCTGGGGGTCCCATACGCTGCCCAGGGGCTCTAGTAAACAGCGGCCATTTTGAAAAAAAATCCAGCTCACGATCCGATGGCATGGGAGGCCTCAGTTTAGCGAGAGTCACCATGGCGAGCGCACGGTCAAACGCCTCACGGGCACGCACCACTCAGTCCCTCACCCCAGAGCAAATAGCCCACGAATTATTCTCTGAAGGTGAAGAAAGTGTGTTTGACGATTCAGACAACGATGAGGATTATACACAGTTGTCGGGTGATAGTAGCAGCAGCAGTGAAAGTGAGAATGACCGCCATGCCATGGCGAGGCCTATACGCTCTCCCATGCCTCCTCGCCCATTTTCTACCCCAATTCTACCACGACCTCACAGTTCCTGTGGATATTTTCTGTTTGAGGGTGACGAGTCAGAGGGAGGTGACTCCTTTTCTGGGTTTAGTGACTCAGATCAAAGTTTTATTGAGCCTGTGGCTGGTACCAGTGGTGTAACTGGGCGAGAAATTGTCGCGTCAGCAGCATCTCGCCCGGCCAAGCGCCACCGCATGGCACCACATGAGGGACCAAGACCCTCGTGTTCACGTGCACCCACCTCACGTGCACCCACCTCACGTGCACGTAGCCGCCGTGCTTCTCGCAGACGGTATTCAGCTCCTGGTCGCCGGTATGCATCGCTTCCTCGCCGTCTTTCCTCTGCATCTCGCAGGACGCCTGGTGTACTTGAGTGGAGTGATGGTGACGATTTTATTCCTAATATTCCTCACTTTGACGATAAAGATGTAGGGATTACAAACCTTTTCCCTAATCAAGGTGAGGACATGGCTGAGATGGAATATTTTACAGCATTCTATGATGAACCACTCATGGAATACATTGTACACCAAACGAACCTGCATGCTGCTTACCTGATTGAGAG